GCAGTTTTTGACCAATATTCACACATCATGAAGTATTTCAGGACATTCATTTGCAGAGAAATTTCCATAGTTTTTGTGCATATGCAAAACTGTTTTGTGTAACCTTCCCTTCCAATATTTTTGCAAGAGAAAAATACTGTTTCCAGATAGCCACCTGTGTTTGTGTTGTGTGTGTGTGTGTGTGGGGGGGGTTATGCAGTCCCCCCTTCCCATGATACATGCACATTTTCTGCCTCACAAATCAGTTCGCAGAAACTGATAGGGCTTTGCTGGGTTTTCCACCAAAAGCACAAGGCTATTAGGCTAACTTCAGTCCCTTCCCAATGAAATTTCCCTTGAGTTCCCTAATTTCTGGTATTGGATTAAGTTAACACTTGAGTATTTAGACTACAGTTTAGAAAGAAAGAAAAGGGGCAGGTAACGTTACCAAGGGTGTGTGAAAACAGCAAATATAAGAGTTTGAGGTACGAACAATTTTCAGTATCTTACTCTCTGCAATGCTAGTAATTTGGGGACTCAAGGAAAACTTTAATGGGGGGCAAAATTCTTATGGGGAAGAAATCCCATCACACACATCCCCATAGTTACACTCCCACCTCTGCACTGGTTAATATTACAAAATATCAGAGTTTTTTGTTTTGTTTTTCAAAATCTGAAGTAAATTTCTAAAAGCAGCTTCATTTCATTTTATTCTGCTTCATATCACGCTATGGGATGTCTAAGCAGTTTACAACTGTAAGCTCATTGCCCCCCAACAGTTGGGTACTCATTTTAGCGACCTTGAAAGGATGCAGGCCTGAGTCAAGCCTGAGCCCTGGCTAGTATTGAACTTGCAACCTTGTAGTCTATGAGTGAGTGGCTGCAGTACAGACATTTAACTACTGCGCCACCAGGACTCCTTCTAGCCATGTTTGGCTTTGTTTTCGTCATTTTTGGCACTCCCAAGTGGGACCTAAAGGGTCCCAGAGGCAGAAAATCGATGGGTAAGTTATGAACCTGTAAGTGAAAGTTTGTAGAGTGGGAAAGGGGAGTGCTCAGTGTTTTGTTTTTTAAAGCAATTTCCCCCCAATATGTTTTCAACACAGAATTATCTTCCCCAGTTCAGTTATTGTTTCTCTTGCACTAGTACTTAGCACTATTACCAATAAATTTATAAGATTTGCAGCAAGCCCTTAGCATCTGCTGGGTTTTGGTTCCAGGACCCTCTGTGGATACCAAAATGTGTGGATGCTCAAGTCCTATTAAATACAGTGGCATAGTAAAATGGCAAAATCAAGGTTTGCTTTTGGGAATTTACACTTTTGTTTAATATTTTCAAGCCATGAATAGTTGAATCTATGGATAAAGAATCCATGGAAATGGAGGGCCAACTATATATGAATCAGGGCAACATTTCAAAAAACCACAGAGAATACTTAATCTGTACTTTTTCCTAAAGAAAATCTAAGGTGGAACTCAGAAGAGCTGAGCCAGATTTTTGTAAGTGGACAGATGAATTTGGTAAAGTGAATTTGGTGGTGCCAAAACAAATTTGTACTGTTTTCTATTGTACCGATTCAGTCATACCCTATCTTTCCCCCAAAGTTCTGGAGATTGGCTTTCCAATATATATATATAGAAGAAATTAAAATGCATCCCCCACCCCACACACATTGTTAGGGTAGGAAAAACCTTGGGTAAAATGGTATGACACCAAGCAGGCCTGAATACAACCCTTAAAAAAAAAGGATACCCTCACCTGCTTGGATAGTTTTATGCTCTAGCTGAAAAAGAGTCAATCCCCCAACACACAACTGTATTCAATTTTTATTTTTATTTTTTGCAATCTTGTCACCTTCCAGCCAGTCGTCACCTCTCAAAATATTTGTTTTGGTTAGTTTTTTATTATATATACAATGCAGCTTGGGTACAGGGCATTTGAAGGATCATATCTCCCTTATGAGCACAAAAAGAGCTCTAAGATCATCAGGAGAGCATTTTGAGTGGGTGAGTGTTTAATTAAAAAAAACACTTGGGGGAGTGTGCTTGTTGCTGAGCAGGTGAGGCTTTGGTGAATCACATCCATAAGTCAGTAGGGGGTGGAGCTAGCCACCTAGCTCAGTAGAACTCCTCCCAGAGCTGCATGCCTAACCGCATGCAAATCTTTTTTTTTACAAGACAAGGGAAAGCACAGCACAGGCAGAAGGGGGCCTGGGAACTTTGTTTTAGAGGTTCTCCTTATATATATATTTTTAAAATATAATAAAGGGCTTTAGGATTTTGTTTTGTTTTTGTTCAGAGGAAGAGAGTCAGAGACTTGCCTCCAG